ATGGCTGCAAAACCAGAACCAGTGAAAAGGAAGTGTGTCAAATGGAATGCAGATGACATCAGTACATTTTTAGAAACATATATAAACTTTGAGGTATTATGGAATACGCGTCATCCTGATTATGCAAATCAAACAAAGAGAACAAGTGCAATGTTGAAATTACAGGCAGAACTGAAAGGACTCGGAATCGAAGTTCCCGACTTAGCATTTTTGCGTGCCCGAATAAAAACAATAAAAACAACATACAGAAGTGAACTCTCAAAAGTTAATGATTCGAAAAAATCTGGTGCAAGCACAGAAGAGATATACGTACCAAAATTGCAGTGGTTCACACTAGCCGATAGTTTTCTGAGGGAGGTCGCCATCACCAGGAACTCAAAGTCTAATTTGGTAAGTAATATATTAATGAAATATCTAGGTTTAATGTAACCATGGACTTGTAGCGATTTGTAAATATACACATAATCAAATTTCCAATTGAACGCCGGAAATTTACCTAAAATATTTCATAAACAATTAATACACATACATTTAACCTTTTTTCATAATTACAGCATATAATGTTGAGATAAACAACATTTTTGCATTTTCCCTCCATCTGGTTTATTGTTTCATTTTATCCCCCCCTCCAAAAAAAAAAAAAAACATTGTAATGTCCAAAATATGTATTTTAATAATAATAACAGAAGTAGGCCTAGTAGTTATTAAAAAACTGACAACAAAAAATGTGTTTTATGTATGTTTTATTTCATACATTAAGTTATTTGATAATACACATAACTCTTATGTGTACGTTAATGTGAACAATATGAAATAAGTACACGTTTAATAGTAAGATGTTGCCCTAGCCTCTATATTTACATGCCTATAGCTTTCATTTGCCATGGTACACGTCCATCTCCGCTGAAGTATTCAGCAAGGCGCTGTCTTGTTGTTGAGGCCTTAATGGAATATGAGTTTGCTCGACGACTAACATTCAATGAAGGTAATTCAGTACCACTGGAACGCCATAGACCCGGATGGAAAAGTCCAGTGTCTATGTCCTCATAGTCCACCCATCCTCTTTCAAAATATGTACTTGGGGATGTTGTTCGCAGCCAATTATGTAACGTACATGCACATTGCACAATCAAGTCAATAGTTTCGATATCAACTTCAATTTCCCTACCAAATATTCTGAATCTTGCTGCTAGTATCCCAAACGCATTTTCAACTACTCGGCGTGCCCGTGACAACCGATAGTTGAATATACGTTCCATTAATGAAAACTTCTTCTTTGGGTATGGCTTCATTAGGGTAGGAGTCAATGCAAACGCCTCATCACCCAGCAAGAAGTAATCAGTAGGTAAATTTAGTTCTCCTTTGTCTATTGCTGACTTAAGTGTGGACTGTCTAAAAACAGTTGAGTCATTCGCTCTACCATTTGATCCAACATCAATGTAAATAAATTTACAATCAGCATCTGCTAATGCTAAAAGCACTATGCTGTAACCTCCTTTGTAATTAAAATATTCAGAACAGGTACCAGGCGGTCGTTTTATAGCTACATGCTTTCCGTCTATTGCACCAACACATAGCGGGAAATTCCATTTAGCTTCAAAATTTCTTTGAATTTCCACCCATTTCTCCACAGTGTTTGGAACCTAAAAAAAAGTAACATTCTTAATAATGTAATATCTAAGATATAAAATTTATTTTCAGGATAATCAAACTACTTCAAAGGAGGAAATGAATGTAACTACTGCAGATACTGAAACTGAAGAGGGTGCTATTGAAGAGGATGAGGGTGCTATTGATGATCCCCATGAGGAAAACACATCAAAATCCGATGCCGGTGCCGATTTTCAGAAGCCTAGGACCAAAATACGTCGTGTAACAAAGTTGGCAAGGATTGAATCAACGGTTCACAAATTACAACAAATAACAGCCAATAATCGGGCATCCACAACAAGCAATGTTTCTGCTGACGAGGTTGACCTTTTCGGGAATTATGTAGCAGCACAATTAAAAGAATTGCCATTGAGGAATCGACTAACTTGTCAAGAAAAAATTCAGTCGATGCTAACCAAAGAGAGGTTGGCATTGCTGGCATCACCAGAACCTCCTATGTCATCACCTTCTCCTATGTTGTCAGGAAAGTCTTCATATGGCAATTTATCCGATGACAATGATGAATATACAACAGACCAACAAACGTATACAACTGATGGGCCATTCCTGTATCGTCAACTTGAATAATAATTAAAAATGTTGAATAATAATTAAAAAATTAACTAAAAATTATAGTTTCTGATACAGTTCTGATGCCAATTTATTTACGAATTCCTAAACCTGTGTAAATTAATACTACTTTACAAATCCTAATCTATAGTTTATGTGAATAAGTTAGGATTACATACTTACTTTCAAATAATCTTGTAATGCAGAAATAATGGCCTTTAGAACAGAAGGCATAAAATATGAGATGGTGTTGGCTGGTAAACGAAACATAAGTCCTAGACTTTGGTAACTGTCGCCAGTAGCTAAAAAACGTAAAGCGACCTCTAGTTTTGTACGGGCAGGAATTGCGCTCCTCATTACAGTATCACGTTTAGAAATTGTTGGTTCAATTAAAGTTAACAGGTGATTAAATTGCATCACACTCATTCTCATAACTTTCTTATATTCAAGAGGATCCTCCTCTGCAAGTTCACGGAATATTGTACTGGAGGCCCCCATTTCCTCTCTCCGCCCTACCCACTCTCTTACCCAACAAGATCTTTTCTTACTCAACAGATCTTTGAGTTCTTCACTCAAACACACTGTAAGTTCACTAACAACTTCACTAACAACCTCACAAACAGAATTTTCGAATTGTACATCAACGTCCTCCATGGTATACGATGTGTTGTGCTCACATCTCAGTGCAGAACTGAGGCCACTACACCGGTAGTGGCCTCAACTACTGGAAGCCACTATTTGCCCCGTCTGAAGGGGTTCATCCTGTCCAGTAGAACTGGCCGCCACTACTGGCCTTTACTTGTGGCCGCCAGTAATTGCCCCGTCTGCAGGGGGCTGTGTTCAGAGTGTACCGTATTCTGTGTCACTTCCGTTGTGCCCGACTGTACCCTCGGTTGGCGATAACAGTCAGGGCGTCAGGGCGTATCAGTGTCCCGTTCCGTCACATCCCTTGCCCCTCCCCTCCCTCCGATTCGCTTGGAGTTCAACCTTCGAACATTGAAAGGATTGCAATTTGGAATTCCTTTTCAATTTTACTTTCCGTAGTTTTGAAGTTGGCAGTGCTGTCAAACACACTGTTTTGTACATTAGACACGTGCCACTACATTTGAAGGTAGTTATGAGTACTGTATTGTTCACTTTGCCTGCCACTGTTGCATTGCTCGTAGTCTTAGTACTGAACACATTACAAGATCCCCTACTGTGCTCTGTGCGTCACTAAATAGTCTGTTCAATCAATGTGCCTGATGCCATAGCAGAGAAGGAAGTTATAGCACCAAGTAACAACTATTGTGCTATAGTAGCCTACCTCTGTTGTTCCTAGAAAGGTGGAATTACTGATAAACGACAAGTAAGCTAATTGCACAACAGTAACAGTAACAGTAGACCTCTATACCTTTTCCTACTCCTACAGGTACCTAACAATGTACATGTTCTCTCACTGATTTGAGAAAGCAAAGTGGCCAATTCGCTCATCAGTGAGACAATGTTAACATTGTCTCACTCTAATTACTTTGTCTCACTCACTCCAGATTTGCAACGTGAAGGCACGAAATAGTGAGCGCGGAGCATGCAGACAAGGTCGAATGCGCGCGAAATACGTTGGCAGCACTGGCTGTAAATCAGCTAGTCAGCTGTTGTACTGTTGTATCATTAAATGTCATATTTCATTTCTGTGTAAAAATATGTCACGTTTCTTTACCAATTTATTAGTTTTATGGTAACTGTCTAGGAAAAATATAATGTGCAACTCGAGTGCAAAGTGCAATTGCCTCACTCGAGAAACCATTCCTCACTCGCCTACGGCTCGTGAGTATTTCTCTCGAGTGAGTCAATTGCTCCCTTTGCTCAGCTCACTAGTTGCACAAATAACTATTCCTGATACTTGATCTATTGTTTTTGGAAGAATGAGAATCACTGATAAATACCTAGTTACAGCTATTGTAATATAGTACAAAGGAATATAGGCTACTAGTTTATGTGCTGAGTAATGGGATTGCAGATTAACTACAAACACAACTGTTCCACTACAGGGGAAAATAACTTTCTTCAGAGTGATTATTTTGTTCCTCTCGACTCACGGAGAAATAAGTACTCAAATAACAATATTGAACTTCAGAAATAGTTCAATATAGTGCAGGATTTATGTCTACATGACGTTTATAAGGAACGCGAACTTTTGATAAAACCATAGATTAAACATACTCTAGCATGTTTAATCTATGATATAAAAAACCAAGCCTTACACTTCTCAAACGCATAATAATTTTATGAAAGGGCTTGTTTAGGAACTCTTAGGAAAAATATTAGTTTTCCGATAAACCTGAACTACTTTAAAGGTTGTATTTAATGCAACAACGCAAAGTAGGCCTATACAAGTAAATATAAAACCAATCGGTACAATTAAGTGTATTATTACAGTCAATGAGGGTGTAACTTCTGTTTTCTGAAAATTCAGAACTCCATTGCCTATTCTTCTCCTCGCCCCGTCACGAAGCACGGATCAAACAACCAGTTTACTACACAGCTGATTGAACTAAACCAAAGGATGTTTTTAATAAAACCAAGTGGTAGCCTACAATCACGATTACTCTAGTACAATATTGAATGTTAGAACAGAATATCCGTACTCTCAATCTTAAACACAAACAAATAGGCATAGCCGATGTAACTTTTCCTGAAAATTCAAAGACCCACACAATATCTTCTCTTTTACATCCTCTCGGCCCTTTGCGAAGCACGGGTAAAGCAACTAAGTAATGTAAGTAGTAATGATACCGTACCTCACGCTGATAGTCTTATTGCTCTCGGTAGGGTTCTGCAACGCAAGACGTTTCCTCCAATCATTGGCGAAGATCATGAAGGCGTTGGGAGGCCGTGGAATCTTCTTGGCAACTGTCGTAGCCTCAGATGGATGACAAGACAACGGATCCTGTTCCTGTGAAAGATTTATTGTTCGTTAAAATATGTTTGGTATTCGTGAGCAAATTTTCCAAAACGACTAGTAAAAAGGTCCACGTTATTACTGGATTTGGAATCTGATTTCACCCTCACCTCAAACATAAAAATATAAGTACGAAACCCAGTCAAAAGCTAAAAACCCCAGCAGACGTTTGTTATTTGTCATGTTCGTTGTGTTCACCTAACCATAACCTTTTTTCCTGCTTAGTTTTTTTTTCGGCTACAATCGCGTTTTCTGTCTCTGCGTGGGGTTATTTAATTTTAATTTTCAGCCTTGGCTGACACTTATGATTTAGATAATTTCCCACCTCATCGGTTCCATCAGGAACAAATGCTATTCCCGAAACGTCGTAAAAACTTGTTTTTACGCATCGTGATGGAAATTTTCTAAAGTCACAAAAAACATTGACTACGTATCACCAAAAATGTACTTAAAAATACACACTCTAAACCTTAACTTTTGTTTGCATTTAACACTTCTGAGGTGACACTTACCAACTTGTAAAGATGTTATATTTTTTAGTGCTTACCTCGGGGAGTTTGACGAAGCTGTTATTGGAGATGAGGGTAATCTCTCTGGGTCTTCTAGGTGTAGGTCTAGGGCCGGATATGACTGTGATCTCCTTGAGCGAGCTGCTGGGTCCAGGTCGGATAGTGATCACCTGGGGCCGCGAGGAAGGCTGGTCTGCGAACAAGAAGAGTTCCAACTGTATAGAGGGACAAGGCGTGCTTTTGTGGCAGTATGTGTTGCTCAAGTACCTCTAGTATGTAGATGTCTATATGATTATAATAATAAAAATCCGTTACTCGCACTTCACTCCACGGGAAAGTCACAACTTTAAAGTATCATTGGGTGGGAACACACCTCCCCTTTTCTTGTTTTCAAGTGACCAGACATGATTACTTAGAATACAGTTTTACCTTTACCGTACCATCGAAATTCAAAGCTAAAAGCCACACTCAGCTGGTAGAAGTCATCTCAAAAGAATGGTATAGGCTACTATAATCTTGACGATTTTAAGTATTTAATTCTGCAACCCAGAAAAGAGGCATTTAGTCCAATAAACTTCACACTATCTCCACAGGCACATTTAAAAAAATCAAATGGTCCAAAATCGTTTGGTCCAACGTTTATTATATTGCCGTTCGTTTGGTCCAAAATTGTTTTATCCAAAACTACGAGTTCGTTTGGTCCAACAGTATAAACTATTGCGTCCCTCACATTGAAGGCGTTCAAATATCCGCCGTCGCATATAATAATAATATTAATAAAATTTTTGCTTTAAACATGCCGACTTTGTATGTTTTAAACGTTAAAGACACCATGTTTTGTAGTATTCAAACCACTAAAGCGTACATAAGCAGACTTAAAGCTCAATAGTGTATCATACGGTTGGAAATCTTATAAATTAACAGTTTATATTACACTAGCTGTTACCCACGGGCTCCACCCCGTTTACTACATAAGTATTAATAAAACTATTGATTGGTTAAGTTAAGCTGAAATAAACAAAGCAGAATACAGTAATAGTCCAGTCAATGAATGATCCAAAAGTAGGTGTAGAGTGCGTGAGCAGGTAACTAAGCGATTCCTTCAGAAACTTGTTCAGGGGGCTTAGGGTGTTAACATACCAAAAGTCCTGACTCCCAGGTGGTGAGCCAGGGGGTGGAGGGGGGAAAAAGGTACGCATTTTGGGTTTTAGCGAATTTCCCATATAGGGAATAAGCTATTACCGTAGGTCTCATGGTAAGACCTAGACCCGGGACCGATTTACTTTTTCGTTTTGAGGTCCCCAGAGGCCAAAAACACCATCCGTTCAAATTCATATATATATATATATTTATATATATATATATTTATATATATATATATATATATATTTATATATGTGTCCGTTAGCGCGATAACTCGAGCAAAATTGATCCGATTTTGATGAAATTTGGTACAAACGTGTAAACCTACATTTATTTGAACGAGTTCGCGAACCAGCATAATCGGACCATGGGATCAGGGGTTTATGGGGGGTTTTATGGGGTAAAAATGGGGTTTTCTCATTTTTGACCCTAAAAACTTTAAATTTCTTAATTTCTCTCTAGACCATTTTGAAGAGCTTAAAAAAACAAATAATTTAGTATATTGAAGTTTTTTTGAATGTTCATTGACTACGGAGAAAATTAAAAAAATTGTAAATTTAAAATTCCCATGTTATTCTTATGGAGAATAAATAAACTGTTCTAGTTTGCTTGTTTATGGATATATTTTAATCAAATTTGGCAATTTGTCTTATTTCATACTAACCTATCAATATTTCAATTGAAAAAACACACCTCAACATCTTCCCCGTAGCAGCAAACCTAACTACTCACTAAAATTAATGTTATTTAAATAGGAAATAAATCTGAAAATTTATAGGGAATATTTTAGTAGAAATCAAGCCGGGTAAATGGAAATTCGCTTAGTATGCAGGTTTGCTGCGACGGGGGTATTTTTATTATATCTCGAAAACTATCAACTTTTTGTATACTATAGTAAATTATAAAATTGAAGAAGATTAAATTTTCTACAAGAAAAGTATATAATGTGTTTATTTTGGTTTAACAGATTACGAGTTATAACTTATTTAATTGATATCTTATTAAATTACTCCTTCCATAAGAAATACATGTAAATTAGTATGCGAAATGGGGCGAATCCTATCCGCCCAAAGGAAATATAACTGATATTCTGGAAATATTGACAATATTTCCAGTAATTTGACACTTTGATCATGAAATTTTGTCAAAAATTAAAGCGAGGGTGAGCGTTTAAAAATGGGATGATTTAAGGTTTTTTTTTATATTTCCAATAAAAAAACACCAAAACTCGAAATTTTGTTACCTCGCCCTCGCCTTAATTTTGGATCAATTTTAATGATTAAAGTGTCAAATTACTGGAAATTTTGTCAAGATTTCCAGAATATCATTTATATTTCCTTTGGGCGGATAGGATTCGCCCCATTTCGCATACTAATTTACATGTATTTCTTATGGAAGGAGTATTTTAATAAGATATCAATTAAATAAGTTATAACTCGTAATCTGTTGAACCAAAATAAACACATTATATACTTTTCTTGTAGAAAATTTAATCTTCTTCAATTTTATAATTTACTTATAGTATACAAAAAGTTGATAGTTTTCGAGATATAATTAAAAAACCCAAAATGCGTACCTTTTCCCCCCCCCTTTCCCCCCCTTTTTCCCCCCTCCACCCCCTGGCTCACCACCTAGGAGTCAGGACTTTTGGTATGTTAACACCCTAAGCCCCCTGAACAAGTTTCTGAAGGAATCGCTTAGTTACCTGCTCACGCACTCTACACCTCATTCCTTGACTGGACTTGGTAATACAAACAAATAATAACAGCTGAGGTATTTTTAACATTAGGTAAATGGAAAGTTCCCTTTGGAAAGCAATTACGACCTTATAGGGCAATTTATGAAATAATGGATAATTTTGCGCAAGGTTTCTCGTCATGACGAACATTTTAAGTATATGGTTTATGGGGGTGTGACTTGTAGTTTTCTCAAAAGTTCATGGGTACTTTTGGCTTTATATATAGATTTGGCAACCTTCTAATATACAGAGTGTATAGAAATTCAGTGGACCAACGTTTATCATACACCTTAATTTTTATTGTTATATCTATGTACAATGGAGTGTTTACTATTGATCCTCCATCGTTGTCTATAATTCTTAATCAAAAGTTAAAAATAGAACATGAAAATTACATTAATTAGCCTACTCATATTTCCTGGATGTCCACAATTTCCTGGTAAAAATTTGGTCTTACAGAATTATATATAGGCTAAGGATCTTATTTTCTTATGTTAAAATTGATGTCCTTCTGTATAATGCCATGTTTAGCAATATAACGTTCCATTACGAATAATTGTATAATCTTAATATTACAGTAACTCTTTTAATGATTTCTTATTGCATTATGCTACATCTATTTTGTACTGGTTGGTGTCTGCCTTTTTGACTACTTTTGACTAGATGATATCGTTGGTATTCTTGGGACTATCTACTTCAAACTGATCACTTGATTGTTCCGTCCATGTTTTTTTATAGTCAGTCTGGTTCCGTTGCACAGCTTGGGTGGACCTAAGTTTCACATTAGTATTATTGGCATTCCTTCTTTTAGTGAAAGTGATGTGGTCGGTTTATGACAAATTGCAAGGCATTTGTATATCTGAGATAGCACGCACAATTTGTTTTCACGATTTATGTTACATTTTGTGGGTATAGAACAAAGGATAACAATGTTAAGGAATTACCATCCCTTTCATAGATTATAATACTGCGATTATAAACATACCAAACTTAACACTAACTTGGCTTTTGGAGTCAATAGGGTACATACATACATACATACATAAATAAATACAATACCTCCTCTATTACATATATAGATAGAGTTAATGGTTAAGATAACACCATTGACAATAAGCCACAACAAATACAAATTCTTTTCTTTTCAATAATTTATCCTTGGTTCTCATGGGGGTAAACATAACATTTTAGGAAGTTTTACAAAATAGGATATATCTTCACTGAGAAATTCACTTTATATGTTTGTATTATTAACTACATGATTGTTACAAATACCATGACAAACACACACAAACATAGATTGAATTTTACTAATATAAATGTGAAAGTTTGTGTGTTTGTTTGTTTGAAGTTCAATCACGCATTAACTACTGGACGGATTGGTCTGAAATTTGGCATGATCTCTCACATTCCCGATTAACACATAGGCATATTCTTATCTCAAAAATCCTTTCGGGCTCCGCCCCAGTGGCTCTGTAGTTCACCATGTTAACCTTATGAGTATTCATATTTAAAGGGAATTAAAGAATTTAGTCAGCTGGTTCAACTAAAAAAGTTTGTTCTATTACATGCAAAAGCATAAAAAAGTTATGAGATTTACCAACAGGGTGTAGCATTATTCTTTTTGTTGACAGCTAATTTGAACTCAGTTATGTTTATGTTTTAAATTTCATGAATAATTTAAGATATCTTGAGAGCGTTATTAATTTATTTTTCTATATTGTTTAGGTGAAGTGGTAGAACTATATGGCTATGGTATATGTGTCATACTATAGTATACTGTGCCATAAGTTTAAAGAATCAAATTTTATCAAACTGTGTCCTCCCCCACTGCAAATGCAAAGCTTGAGTAGGCCTATAACTGCAATAAGCATTCATACTTATATGCCAACCCCGTACGAAGGACAGGTACTCTGCTAGTTTAAAATATAGATCAATTAAATAAACCATCTGTTTAACATTAAATGCAAACTCAAAGCAAATTCAATGTTTATCCACAAATCTAGGGAATTAAAACGTGTTGTTTTAGGATTGAATGGAGATAAAAAGTAAACAGGACAAAAGCACATTATATATAAATAAATATATGTATATGCACGTGTATATAAATGCAAACATATAAATTATTATTTAGAAACATAACACTAAACAACAAATAGGAAGGCAGGCGGTTGGGTTGACGACGTGACGGCGATTATTTGAACGCCTTCAATGTGAGGGACGCAATAGTTCATACTGTTGGACCAAACGAACTCTTATTAGAGTGTTGGACCAAACGATTTTGGACCAAATGAAATACTCCCATTTTAAATACGTAATAAATCGAGTGTGTGAATACGTATATATTCGAGAACACAATTTTAAATTTTGAGTTTTTATTATTGCCAAGTTAGAGGGGGTGGCACTCGCAGTTGGTTCGTATTTTAATGCAAATATGCCTATTTGTGAAGAGTGAGGAGTGAGTAAAGAATGAAGTTTAGTGTGCCTTGCCTTGTAGATTTGTTACTGACTAGCATGAGATGCTCGGATAATAGTTTCACCAAATTAGGTCTCCTGGATTAGCCAACCACCTTTTTAGCTTAATGTATACAGAATACAAGGATCTGCCATATTACAGTATATGTCTTGCAGCCATATGAACAAACTTTGTAATGTTATTCAGCATGTCAAAAGAAACAACAAACAAATGTAGTAATGTAGGTCACATTCACATTGAGTCCTATCTCATTCAGATTTCGGCCTATCTGTCTGTATGTGATTTTTACAAAAAACATTTAATACTCTTTAACTTCTTAAACTACAGCGTTGAAATTCTGTAAAATTGTTTATCTTATTAACCACTACTTTTGCGCAAAATATGAATAAAACCTCTTGTGCCGTTTAAAAGTGGTGGCCTTCAAAAATTGATGCCAAATTCCATGAAAACCGTCAATTTTACAAACTATTTGCAGGGCACGTAAAATCTAGTCCCTAGAGGCCAAAAACACTATTAGTTCAAATTTGTATAAATGATTAATACTTTAATACTTTTCAATGAAATGGCGAACATACAAAGTAGGTATTTTAAGCAAAGTATGAATGGAGATCAGTTTGGGATGAGTGGCGCGATCTTGTAGTCTTGGGCAAATACAGTACTGGCTGTCGAGCGACGGTCAATTCGCACCGCAACCGCAGCGTAACCGCGGATCCAACCGCTGCCATGTGTACGGTCCTAGGCGGTCACCGTTGCAGCCACCGCGGCGGCTGCCGCCCTCATGTGTACAGGGCCTAAGGCCGACATATCCTTAGAAATAGCTGTTAATTAATAGCCCATACAGCTAATGGCAACTAAGGGACCTACAGTTTATAGAGGAATCCGAACCAAATTTCTGCCTTGGTTTGTTTTAATATTATTTTCAACTTATGTCCTTAAGGGCGTGATAACTTGAAAAATGTGTGTCCAATTTTAATGAAATTTGGCTTGAAGATGTAGGCGTAAACTTGGATGAATTCGCGAACCAGCATGGGCGGAACATGGATACGGGGTTTTATAGAAGGGTTTTATATGGTAAAAATGTTTTATTTTTATTTTGACCCGCAAAATATAACATTTCCCAAATGTATCTATAAATCATTTTAAAGAGCTCAAAATCAAATGATTTAGTATTATTGAAGTGTTATTTACCGTTATTAGTCACGGAGGAATAAGTTGTAAATTTAAAATTTCTTTTTTATTCTTATGGAAAATAAGTAAACTGTTGTAGTTTGTTTGTTTATGGATATAGTTTGATCAAAATTTGCAAATTTATTCATTTTATACTATGCTATTAAGTTAATATTTTACTAAAAATCAAGCTTTATTACTCTCCATGTAGCGGAAAAATTGCTACTGTAAACCTAATGTCATAATCTTATGTTTTTACCTATGTGTAATAGATTATATTGAAAATCCAATCAGGCAAATGGAAATCTGCTAAGTCTGTAGGTTTACTGTTGTGGCGGAAGTATTCTTTCATACCGTCCATCGCCTTTTGTTGTTTGCCTTGAGTGTCACTATAAGCGTCGGTTTTTGACTAGATATAGGGATAGATAGATATAGGGACACTCGTTGTTTTGATTCAATAACTTATTTTGTAGGATTAGCTCATGTGTCTCATTCCACAACTCGACTATTCTTGAAGTAGTCCTACGATAACTTATGTTAGTATTATTTACCTACTTAAAGTACCTATCGAGTAAATTATGCATCATAAGTAGGCCTATTACTATGTTAGAATGGAAACGTCCCATTTAACGTGTAAACTTGACTTGATCGTATTAAGTTAGTTGTAGTTCACGTCAATAAAAAATGCGTCATCCAATTAGCATATGTCGGGCTAAGTTTATGTTGTAGAATTTTAAAGATATTTTTATTGAACAGTTTTATACATAATGTTTGTGTTCATAAGGAAAGTTTTGACCTGTGATGAAAAGTAGTCCTACTGAATTTGTCATAGGGACCAGTCTTGTCTTGGGCTTTGCTTTACTCTCTAGTCACAACTGGATGCACATGGACCGGTTTTAGGGGCGCTGGAGCTTGCCTATCCGCCCTCGTGTTGTGCAAAAACTAGACGACACACATAAGTTACGTAGACAGTGAACATCGAATAGACGTATACTTAATTTTAAAATCGAGGTAATGTTTTCAAAACAAATTAAGCTATAATGTCAATGTTCATGTTGACTGTTGGACTCATAAAGAAATAGGATTAGGCTAGGTTTCAATTAGAAAAGATGATGCACCAGTATAGCCTAGGCTCATAATGTACACTAAGTGGTTTTGGAGTTACGTCTCCAACTATGCCAGCCCATGCAATAATTTAAATATACATGACTTGATATGGCAATAATGAGTTTATAATAACAAATATCTGTTTTTAAACTTAAGCATTGTCAATAAAATATAATTTAAGTTAACAATGTTTAGTAACAATGAAAACGCTGGCTTACCAAGAATGGAGAGACGATTACAATCAATAAAATTGGGATTGTTGTACATTATGACCCTATAATGTCCACGGGGATTTTCAACACGAACTTGGCTCAATGATACTTTTTAAGTGTAGTTTGATCACACGTTTAAATCACTGAAATAAACGAATAAAATTATTCCCTATTCCTAACTAAATAAAAGAAAACTGTAAATCTTAAATTATTTTTAAACAGAGATCTAACTTAACTAATAGACAAAACGATCAGATGGTAACTTAGACAACAAAATGTAAATATTTAAAAAGTACCAGTATCCTAGGGTTATTTGATTTTTTCTTGTAGGCTACGTCATAACCTACGTCATTTTTAGTTCGTCCGTTTCTTTCAAGTTATGATACTTTGATACAAAAAAATTACGCCTAAGTTAACTTATGCCAATTTTCAAAACTCCCCATGAACGTTTAGCGCAAATATTCGCTAGCTCAATATGTTTCATAAACATCATTAAGTAGTAGGCCTATTTTAAGTTAAGAAAGCTAGGTAGCTTAATCACTTTGAAACTGATTAAGATTATTAAGTTTTAAGTTATTTAGGTCAACCATAAGTTATTGATTATTGGTAACTTAAGCAAAGATCTTTGGATTTCCCATAATTAATACCAGCGACGCAATTGAAGCAAATAATAAGTATGCATGACGATTGTACTAAGACCAACTCAGTTATGTCGTTGTTACTATTTTAGGCTTAGGTGCCAACCAGTTACTAAGTTAGGCAAGGCCTAACTTATGCTTTCTTTAATAGTAACTTAATTCGATAAGTTAATTGTGTATTATTTTTGTATTTCCCTGATATATCTTATTAACAAATGTACAGTGAAAGAACTAAAACTAAGTAATTAGTTTATTACGGTAGGGTGTTTCAAATACAAAATTGTGCCAAAACGTTCTCTCTTTTTGATTACTCTAAACTTAGTCCCTGACTTGCTGTTGTGAAGGAGCTTGAGAGGATGAGAGGATTTTATGGGATGCATAAAGGTTAGGTGTAATCTAACTTACCAGCTGTGTTGGTAGTTGTGATTATAAATTTGTGGTTTATTGTTGTTTTTGAGAACATTAATTTTATTGTTGCTTTTATTTATTTCTAACGTAATGATAATAAAAATACACCTAACCAACTTTGGGTAATTTGTCTACCGAACTAATGAAATTATTTATGCGCCAATACGAATTGAGATAGGAAGTGAAGAAAACATTTAAGCTACAGGAAAACATGTTTGCCACCCCTTGTAAACAAAATCAAAATAAATAGGTGTGCTTTGAACAACAGCGCGCTGATTATATGAAGATTTCTTTGACACACTAACTTATTTTCGTGTCTACATAACGTGAGTTCTTTTATATAATGGGGCTTGACTACTATGGCATATTAGAATTAACGAGAAATTGCGAAGACCTTGACATTAAACAAGCGTGAGTAAATATTATTATATATCTAGGTTGCTGGATAAGCTTTTTGTTGCATTACTATTTTTTACGTTTCGGTCTACTACAAATAACTATCCTAGGTCTAGTATATTTCCTACTAATCAATACAGTTACAGTATCTATCTACGTCTTCGTCTGCTAGCTTCTGCATCGCATGTCGCATCAATTAATAATTAATTAATTGGCGAGTGTGTGTGTCACTGTGTGAGTGTGTGTCATAAAAATGGGTGAGTCGAGTTAGGCCTAGGCCCTAGTCCTAGTTTTGTTTTATGATTTACTTTATGAAATCCGACCAGAGTAGTTGGTGTTGGGTCATATTGGTATGCCAACCCAAACCATGGATGTTGAGATAAATAATAAAATACCTTAACTTATATATAGGTAGGGTATTATACTAAGGATTTTGGTTGGACTTCATAATAATCTACTAAAATTTAGAGCTTATAAGACGAATAATTTTGAGTAGGCCTAGGTTTAAGTTATGTTCCCTCTTGGTCTACTTCTTATAACTTAAGTTATATTGGTAGGCTACCTAATTAAATAATAGGCCTAGGCCTACCATCAAAGTAAATAAGTGAAATTAGGCTTCATTTAACTTAGCCTAGGCCTAACTTACTTTAATGAATAACTTAAGACACAAAGCATTTAAAAAAGTTAGGCTCCACATAAGTTCAGGCTATGGACCTGTGCATATCCAGCAAAACAAGGGGTGAGCCGGTAAAGTACAAGGGTGAACTGTATACTGATAGGTACCTGTAAAGTAGCGGCAGTAACCAGGATCTGAACCCACGACATCGCTGCCTTAAACCTGAGATCCTTGACGCTAGGCCTACCTACTAAGTTTAAGCCACTGATTCACCTATAAGCTTATTTTGTAGATTAGTACAGTAGGCCTAGCCTAGATTAACTTAGGGATAAAATCAATTACAATAATACTGCAGTTGTTATTACAACAACTACAACCACAAGAAGATAACCTACCGGTAAGTAAAAGGTTTCAGTAATGGGTGGTTTTGAACTTATAAACTCATCAAATCTTTAAGTTTGGTAACTTATTCAATGCGTGTCTCAAAATCATAAAACATTTCAATGTGATTAGGCTAATATTGTTTTGAAACTCAAGTTACAGGAGGTTGGCGATCAATTACCACCAGGTTGGAAAATCAGACGAGTTTGTACTTATCTCTGAGGCGTACGACGTCCTTAGTGAGCCTTGTCGCAGAGCTTTGTACGATCAGTACGGAGAAGAAGGGTTGAAGAAAGGTGTTCCAACCTCTGATGGATTTATTTTACCCTATGTCTATCATGGCGACGCTTTACGAACATTCAGGTAAAAGTCGATAGGCCTAGCCTATTTACATACATTTAAGTTAGATAACTGTACAAATTCAAAGACTACATTGTACATTTTTACATTACATTTTTGTACATTTTAGGTTAGGCTAAATGTACAAATTGACATTCTCCGATATAGAAAATATCTTAATTTTGTCCAACATCTATGATCAATTTTTTCCCGTTGCAGCTGTTTTTCTGTGTGGCAGATTGAGTGTATATATACAGTGTGTAAATTAAGTAGGTACCTACCTAACAAAACAAATCTGAATTTTTAAAAACGAAATTGATAACAATATTCCATTTGTGGTACCTATTGATTGTTCACAAAAGTTCCACATTTTTTCCATCAAAAATATTTTTCATACCCCCGTAATAGGGTAGGGGGTGGTGGTGACTTATTAAAAAAAAAACAAAAAAAATACCCCCGCCGCAGCAAACCTGCAGACTAAGCGAATTTCCATTTCCCTGAATGGATTTACACTAAAATGTCTCCTTAAAAATATCACATGTATTCCCTATTTAAATAGAATCAGTTTTACACATAGGTTTGCTGCCACAGGGAGGGTAAAAGTGTTTTTTATGTAAAATGGTAATAGTTAGTAAGAAATAAAAACATTTTCCAAATTTGGGCAAAATATGTTTATAAACAAGCAAACTACAACAGTTTACTTATTCTCCATAAGAATAACATGGGAATTTTAAATTTACAATTTTTTTGAATTTTCTCTGTAACCATTAGGCACATTATAACGCTTCAATATACTAAATAATTTGTTTTTTTAACCCTCCGAGCGTCCATCGTCGAAAAATCGACGCGCTACACACTTTGTGTAGTGTCACGCATCGATTTTTCGACGCACGAACATCGTTTACGGCGAAGGCTCTATGACTGACTGAATCGGATTGAACTGGATCGAGTTAGGTATCGTTCTTTCCGTTATATTCTAAGCTTTCTCCAGAGGTCTGTCTCAGCGCTGTATGTTCTCCGAGCCGATCGTAATTGTAGCAGAAGCAGACAGCTGACGTGCGTATTCGTAAACAGCTTGGTTAAGCCCCGTTCACACGGGGCGAGTTTACAAGCTACACGCCGGCTTTTTTACACGCAGCTAGTAAAATAGCTCAGTGTGAACGACGTACTCGCTCAAAAGCTGCTTGTAAAAAAGCTCTGGAAAAAGTTGACGCTGCCGCTACTTTACGTAAAGTAGCCCAGTGTGAACACAGTTGCTTGTGCTTGTGCGCTTGTTACTCAAAGATGTTGGAGGATTTGGTTCAAGCCAGCTACTGAGCGAGTGGAAAAAGCGTCGTGTGAACGACTACAAGCGCACTCGCCGGCGTCTTTCTACACGTCTGCGAGTTGGCGAGTAGACAAGCTCCGTGTGAACGAATACAAGCGCACTCGTCAACTCGCCGGCTCCTTACACGCTGGCGTGTAGCTTGTAAACTCGCCCCGTGTGAACGGGGCTTTATCCTCGGACCGATGACTGATGTGTTTTATTACGTTTATCATTGTTTTAGTGTTAAAAATCAAAAGTAGTGATATACGTGGTGCATTATAAGAAGATTTAAGTGATTTTGAAGGGCTGGTTGATGATCCTGAAGAAGTAGGTAGTGATATTGATGTAAATTATCAGCCAGATTCCTAGCTATGGTTAGGCTATGCATTCTTAGCTAAACGCTATGTACTGAAATCCGTTTTTCACTCATAACTTATTTATTTGATAACTTACCTCACTATATGATTATATATTTGTAATCCTCATTAAATTTAGAACAAAGTGGCTATTTTCAAATATTTATAGGCCTATAATTTATACAATTTCATTGAGCGCGAACTTATTTTTTTTTTCAATTTTTCCAAAATAATTTTTGTTTTTACCTAAAAAATTTGTTTGAAACAAATATTCCTTATGTTTTATTTATGATATTGAAGCCCATGATTTTCCAAACAAAATGGTATATAGAACATTAGAATAACATTGTTTTAAGCTTCTCAGATCCGTTTTAATAAAACCTTGCAAATGCGCCAAAAATAGGTGGACATTAAGGCCTAAACTATGGACACTTGGAGGGTTAAGCTCTACAAAATAGTTTGGAAAGAAATTGCAAAATTTTATGTTTTTTAGGTCAAAAATGGGAAAAACCCATTTTTACCCCATAAAAGCCCCCATAAACCCCCGTTCCCATGGTCCGATCATGCTGGTTTGCGAACTCGTTCGAATAAACGTAGGTTTACACGTTTGTACCAAATTTCATCAAAATCGGATCATTTTTGCTCGAGTTATCACGCTAACGGACACATATATATATAAATATATATATAAATATAGCCTATATATAAATATATATATATATATGAATTTGAACGGATGGTGTTTTTGGCCTTTAGGGACCTCAAAACGGAAAAAAAAATCGGTCCCGGGTCCAGGTCTTACCGTGAGTACTACGGTAATAGCTTATTCCCTATATGGGAAATTCGCTAAAAACAATTCCTATTAAATGACCCCTCATTCAGGCCCGTTTTTGACGATGTCAGCGCCCTAGGCACAACTAATAGTAGCACCCCTTTGCAATATATAACAGGGTGACCACCAACCGGGAAATCCGGGAACTAAGCGTGAATTTTTTTGAACCAGGAATTATGTGTTAATTTTCTATTTCTACCTGGAATTTTCAATTTACAACAGTGACGTTTCCGTGACCACGGGAGACGGGAGGCGATAATATGTCTCCACAAGGCCTCGAGGGATGATCAGAACTTTGCCGCGATCGCATGAGATGATAATAATATCCAAACGACCGCGGGATATGATCATGATTTTACCGCGATCGCGCAATACGATAATGAGATCCACAGAGCCGCGAAGGATAATCAGAATATTGCCGCGATCACATGATACGATGATAATGTCTAAACGACCATGGGATATGATCATGATTTTACCGCGATCGCGCGAGACTATGATAATGACTAAATGACCGCGGGATATGATCATGGTCCACACAACCACGGAAAACAGTCAGAAATTTGCCACGATCGCGGAAGACGATAATGATATCCACATAACTGCGGGATATTATTAAAATTTTGCCATAATCGCGGGAGACAATTACGATGTCTTCACGACAGTGGGAGACGATTACGATGTCTTCACGATCGCGCGGAGACGATTTCGATGTCTTCACGATCGCGGGAGACGATTACGATGTCTTCACGACCGAGGGAGACGATTATATGATGTCTTCACGACAGCGGGGGACGATTGCGATGTCTACAGGATCGCGGGAGTTACAATAATAATGTCTACTCTACACGGCTGCGAGGGATGATCAGAATTTTACCGCAATCGCGTAAGACGATGATAATGTCCACTCAACCACGGGAAAGATCAGAAATTTGCCTCATTCGTGAAAGACGATGATGATCTCCAAACAACCGCGGGAGATGATTACCATTTGCCGCAATGGCGGGAGAGGATGACAATGCCTCACGACCACGGGAGGCGATGATGTCTTCACGGCTGTGAGGGATTATCAGAATTTTATCGTGATCACGCAAGAAGATGATAATGTCCACACGACCCCGGGAAAAGATTACAATTTTGCCTCATTCGCGGTAGACGGTGATAATCTCATCACGACCGCGGGATGTGTTCATATATTGCCGCGATCAAGGAAGACGATAAATATGTCCACACATCCGCTGGAAATAGTCAGAACTTTGACGCGATCGCGGGAGACGGACGATGATGACGTATATACAACCGCGGTAAATAATTAACATCTTGCCGCAATTGTAGGAGACTGTTAAGGTGTCTTCACGGCCGCAAGGGATTATCAGTTTACCGCGATCGCATGCAAAAACAGCCACAATTTTTTTTCTTTTTTTCCAATTTTTTGGCGCCCCCCAAAAAAGCCAATTGCCTCGCGCCCTAGGCACGTGCCTACCTTGCCTATTCGGTAAATCGGCCCTGCCCTCATTTTGAAGGGTTTGTCAAAATAAATCCAATGACGCAAACCCGAGGTAGATATTTCACCCCTAGCCTAAAGGAGGGTATATTACCTCTTATATGCATCATCACACTTCATTTACTTTGTACTTACACCAAACCAATTTTGTAACACTGGACCAGCCAACCTGTATCATATGCCAGAGAGAGAGAGAGAGATGTGTCCGTGAGCACGATAACTTGAATAATTTTTGTCCGATTTTGATGAAATTTGGTTTGAAGGTTTAAGGCGTAGGTAATAAATTTGAATGAGTTTGCGAACCAGCATAATCGGACCATTGGAACGGGGTTTTATGAGGGGGGGGGGGGGGTTATGGGGTAAAAATGGTTTTTAAAATTTTTAATCCTCAAAAACAAAATTTCCCAATTTATCTCTAGACCAATTAAAGAGCTTAATAAAACAAACGATTTAGTATATCAAAGTGTTTTTGTATGGTTGCTGGTTACGGAAAAAATTCAAAATTTGTAAATTTTCAGATTCCCATGTTATTGTTATAAATAATATTGTAAAATGTTGTAGTTTGCTTATAGAGATATTTTGATCAAACTTTGCAAATTCAATTATTTTTCTAAGCTATTAATATTTTAGAAAAAAAAACACTTTATTACCCTCGCTGTAGCAGCAAACCTAGGTACTTCTTGTTAAACCTATGTTATTGAAATGGATTTAATTGAAAATCAAATCAGGCAAATGAAAATTCGCTTAGTCTGCAGGTTTGCTGCGGTGGGGGTATTTAGGCTATATTACAATTTATTGAGAAGAACACTTATTTAATACATAAAACTAACTAATGCTCCTGCAGAGATTTTTTCGGCACATCTAATCCATATGTTGACCTGGTGCAGAAACGGTTCAGCCCAGAAGAACTTTTCGCTTTTCCACTCGGTCAAGGCATCAGAGAAAAGGAGCCTCCTTTGGAACGTTCTCTAGCTCTCACATTAGAAGAAGTAAGATCCGGAAAAATTGTTGCATATATTCTTTGGGTACTTATGTAGTGTAAGTTTAGTATTTAACATTTTTTGTTATTCCTCAAGTCATTATTGGTAAAACAATCTACTTCCCTTATTAGCGAATTTCCCTATAGGGAAGTAGCTATTACCGTAGGTGGCACGGTAAGACCTACACCCGGGACCGATTTACTTTTTCATTTTGATGTCCCCAGAGGCCAAAAACACCATTCGTTCAAATTTTTATATATGTATATATATATAGACTTATATATATATATACGTCCGTGAACGCGATAACTTGAGTAATTTTTGTCCGATTTTGATGAAATTTGGTTTAAAGGTGTAAAGCGGGATAAACTTGAATAAGTTCGCGAACCAGCAAAATCGGACCATGGGAACGGGGGTTTTATGGGGTAAAAATTGGTTTTCCTCACTTTTGACCCTCAAAACACAAAATTTCCCGATTTCTCTTTAGACCTTTTTAAAGAGCTTAAAAAACAAATAATTTAGTATATAAAAGTATTTTTGTTCGATTATTAGTAACGGAGAAAATTAAAAAAATTGTAAATTTAAAATTCCCATGTTATTCTTATGGAGAATATTGTCAAATGTTGTAGTTCGCTTGTTTATGGATATATTTTGATCAAACTTGGCAAATTTATTTATTTTGTACTAAGCTATCAATATTTTACTCAAAAACACACTTTATTAGTTTCCTTGTAACAGCAAACCTAGGTACTCGTTAAACCTAATGTTATTAAAATATATTTAACTGAAAATCAATTCAGACAAATGGAAATTCGCTTAGTCGGCAGGTTTGCTGCGGCGGGGGTATTTCTTCTTTAGAGACTGCTTCTGATTTGTGTTATGTAGAAGACAAAATGTAAAACTATTCTACTTAAGTGCTCGACTGGTTTGCCGTCATTGCAAGAGTACTGGTAGTAACTGGTGTTTTGAGATAATCGCTGTTAAAGTTTAGAGTATTATGTTTGGCTGTATCTGCGTTGGCAGTCGTCTATGTTTAAAGGGACTGGTGACACCAGCTGACTTGAAGTGTCATACGAAAAAAACAAAAAATACACCATTCAAAATTATTAGATTATACTAAAAGACACGAGGAAGAAAAATAGCGATTCTCCTCTCATAGGGCCTGTCCTAAAGTTTGACACAAAAGGCCTAAGTTAGGTTATGTTTGGCTGTTGTCAGCATTGGCTCTCATCCATGCTAAAAGGGCCTAGTGACTCCAGATGGCTTTCAGAGTCATACCAACCAAACAAACTTAAATACACCATTCCAAGTGATTAAAGATTATACTAGAAGACAAAAAGAAGCAAGATAGCAAATCTAATCTATAAGGGCCCATCTCGACTCAGGCCCCTTTAGCAGTCACAGCCTCAATTAAATGAGGTTCACTTAAAGCCGTCTGTTTTTAAATTTAACTGTTTGTCCTGTTTTCTATTTATTTTTCATAAATTTAATTGTTCAAAAACTGAAATATACTTCTAATCTAAGTAGCAAAGTGGTTATAGTGCTAGCCTTAAAATCTGACGGTTGAAGGTATTAGGGCCAATTCTAGTGCTTAATGCCATTTGTAAGTGTGCTATTGATTAGTGATGATTTGTAACATGTTTGACGTAAGATAGTTTTTATAACCCATAGGTGTTTCATGGGGGAGTGAAGAAGATGAAAATATTGAGGAATGTGTTTGAGGACGACTCTGAGCAGATTACTTATCCAGAAGAGAAGATTCTAACGATCCCTATTAGACGAGGTCTGCCTGTTGGGTCTCGGTTTGATTTCCCTGAGGTCGGGGACCAAGGGCATACAATAATTCCAGGTATATTTTTAACGTGAATTCAATAAAAGATTTTAGCATTTTATGTTGGTATTAGTAAAGTTTTAATATACACATTTGTGTAATTGTTTAGAGGAAGACGTTGGCTTGCATCTGTCTGTCCAAGTGGGATGACAGACAGTATGCTACAGTCTAAAATTGTATTTCCTCCCGTAGTCTTTAGAGAATTTCTCTATACGGAAGTAGCTATTACTGTAGGTGGCATGGTAAGACCTGGATTCGGGACCGACATACTTTTTCATTTTAAAGTGCCTTGAGGCCAAAAACACATTTTGTTCAAATTTTTATAAATGTATATACATATATATATTTTATTGGATATTGTTCATATGTAGGGTTACTGTAATTAGTATTAATAGAAATATCCATACATAAATCCCAAAAAGTACCCATGAACCTTTGAGAAAACTACAAGTCACACCCCCATAAACCGTATACTTAAAATGTTCGTCATGACAAGAAACCTTGCGCAAAACTATCCATTTTTTTCTATAAAAATTGTCCTTTAAGTTCGTAATTGCTTTCTAAAGGGAACTTTACATATACCTAACTAGCTGTAACCCGCGGGCTTTGCCCCGTTTAACTTCTTAATTTTCAAGATGATCTCGTTCGCATGGCTCAATCACGTCCTGGTTGAAGTTCGTTTGCTACGCTCACTCATCTTTAGGTTGGTGACTTAGTCAGCAGGTTTGCTGCGGCGGGGGTTTTTGAATTCATGCTATTGGCAACACTGACTCAACAACTCACTGGCCACCATTTTGGACATTTAGAAAACTCTCTCTTCCTTAGTTGAAAATGCTGTCAGTGACAGTGAAATATTCTAATGTTTTGTGTAGGCCTATATAGTTTCCTGTGCCAGTTTGGACTCTATCCCATTCAGGTAAGCCTGCTATCCTCTCAAAAAAATCCTAAAAACCTATGCCCTTTTGCTCTATGCTACACCCTTGACTAGAGATTCAGTTGGATATTGTGCCGATTTTTAAATCAAAAGATTTAAAATCCGCGACAGGCAATGGACAAGTCAGTCCAACCATGACGTAACGCGGAAGGATACGAAGATCGTTGGGAACCGCGTCGTCTGCAAAGCGTCTCGTCGTCCTCACTCGTGGTTCAGTACTCGCGTAGTCAACATGTAAAGTCGCGTTTTGTCGCTGGTGTAGGACGAATTTATTAATATCTCAATTCGTAGCTAGGAAATTCGCGTTTTGCCACTGAGCAATAAAGTGTGTTATACACAGAACTACGAATAGCCCCTTTTGCATACTAAAGTCAACTGGCCAGTTGTTAATAAATACACTAATTTGGGAAGCCTGATAGCCTAAAAATAGACTAAATAAATCAAACCTAGGTTCCCGAGGCACTGCTATTAGTATCTCAGAAAACAAAAGAAGGTCAGAAAATCACAATCAATACTCTCCCTTTGTTTAACAGAAGTGTCAATAGAGCAAAAACCTTAGATTATCATTGAGATTTGTAACATTTGTAGATATTTCAGTTACAATAAACAAAGCTTATTCTTTCAACAATTTTATTAATTCTCCTGTGTTGGTCTTTGTCAAGGTAATCAGCTTAACCGAACAATTGCAATAAAATACAATATTGGTCAATCTATATAATTAATACGCTACATGAAACTTTGTCGGTTGAACTCCTCCGCCATTTATTAACCGACTTCATCCATTGACGTCTGACTGGAAAGAGCGTGTCGCGTAGATTTGCAAACTGGCCTTACATTTTAGCGAATTTCCCTATAGGGAAGTAGCTATTACCGTAGGTCTCATGGTAAGACCTAAGCCCGGGACCGATTTACTTTTTCATTTTGATGTCCCCAGAGGCCAAAAACACCATTCGTTCAAATTTTTATATATCTATATATATATATATATATATATATATATATATATATTTAATAAATAGTATGTAAAATAACATGAGTATGTAAAAAAGTTATAGCCTATACTAAATAGTATATATATATGTGTGTGTCCATCCGCACGATAACTTGAGTAATTTTTGTCCGATTTTGATAAAATTTGGTTTGAAGGTGTAAGGCGGGATAAACTTGAATGAGTTCGCGAACCAGCATGATCGGACTATGGGAACGGGGGTTTATGGGGGGTTTTATGGGGTAAAAATAGGTTTTTCCCATTTTTGACCCTAAAAACACAAAATTTCACAATTTCTTTTCAAACCATTTTGTAGAGCTTAAAAAAACAAATAATTTAGTATATTGAAGCGTTATTATGCGCCTAATTGTTACGAAGAAAATTCAAAAAAATTGTAATTTTAAAATTCCCATGTTATTCTTATGGAGAATAAGTCAACTGTTGTACTTTGCTTGTTTATGAACATATTTTGATCGATTTTGGAAAATACTTTTATTTCTTACTAAACTGTTATCATTTTATAAAAACAATCTTTTTTACCCTCCCTGTTGCAGCAAACCTAAGTACTTGTTAAACTAATTCTATTTAAATAGGAAATAAATGTGCTATTTTTATGGAGGCATTTTAGTGTAAATCCAATCAGGTTAGTGGAAATTCGCTTAGTCTGCAGGTTTGCTGCGGCGGTGACGGTATGACGTTGATGCTTAGAATGGCCAATGTCGTCTGGTGACGGTATGGGCCGAAATTTTTTTAACGGTAAAAAAACACTTACAATCAACTCAGATGAGAATAATATATATACCATTCGAAAGATCACATTCTGAACTTTCATTTGATTACATAAACAAACCCTGTAGCAGGTATATAACAATGTCACGACGATTAGAAATCAAATGAAATTTTGGCGCGGTACGACTTTTGCAGCCGACACTTGGGAACTGGCAAAACACGTCTTGTTTGGCATTACCCTGCTCGGGTAATTTTCGTCTTGGGATGTTGCGGGTGGTACCACTGGATAGCCATTGATTTTATCTTCATTGTGGTAGTGATATTTATAACTAAATATTGATTGCACAATCGGTACGATTTTATGAAAACAGCTGTTTTTGAAATTTCTAACAAATGGCCAACAGTCGTCTGGTGACAGTATGGAAAATACGAATTATATACAGTGAAAGTTATTATTACTAGTCATATAGTATATCATTTTGAAGAGGAAGAAATTTAGATTCAGAGAGTGGCAGCCCTGCACTCAGGGTTATTTCTGTATGCTCGCATGTAGACGACAAGTGAGTCATTACTGCTACAGTCTGCATGGTGTCTACTCTCCGGGAAATTCGGGAAAACCGGGAAAACTCCGGGAATTTTTTCTTACCTTAAAATGTCCTGGAAAACTCCAGGAATCCACCCAAACCTCCGGGAATCCGGAGCCCAGTCATCGGAATCGTCGGCTAACAGAAACACTACCGCTTTTGTTGCCGAAATTGAAACGAGCATTGGAAGCATCGGAAACGATAATCGGTGTCGCCGAAGCCGCAGGATATGCCCGTGGATATTGCCGCGATCGCGGGAGACGATTATCGGGTGACGCCGAAACCGCAAGATATGCTTACGGGTATTGCCGCGATCGTGGGAGACGATTATCGGTGTCGCCGAAACCGCAGGATATGCTTACATTGCCGCGATCGTGGGAGACGATTATCGGTGTCGCCGAAACCGCAGGATATGCTTACATTGACGCGATCGCGGGAGACGATTATCGGTGTCGCCGAAACCGCAGGATATGCTTACATTGACGCGATCGTGGGAGACGATTATCGGTGTCGCCGAAACCGCAGGATATGCTTACATTGACGCGATCGCGGGAGACGATTATCGGTGTCGCCGAAACCGCAGGATATGCTTACATTGCCGCGATCGTGGGAGACGATTATCGGTGTCGCCGAAACCGCAGGATATGCTTACATTGCCGCGATCGTGGGAGACGATTATCGGTGTCGCCGAAACCGCAGGATATGCTTACATTGACGCGATCGCGGGAGACGATTATCGGTGTCGCCGAAACCGCAGGATATGCTTACATTGACGCGATCGTGGGAGACGATTATCGGTGTCGCCGAAACCGCAGGATATGCTTACATTGACGCGATCGCGGGAGACGATTATCGGTGTTGCCGAAACCGCAGGATATGCTTACATTGACGCGATCGCGGGAGACGATTATCGGTGTCGCCGAAACCGCAGGATATGCTTACATTGCCGCGATCGTGGGAGACGATTATCTGTGTCGCCGAAACCGCAGGATATGCTCACGGGTATTGCCGCGATCGCGGGAGACGATTATCGGTGTCGCCGAAACCGCAGGATATGCTCACGGGTATTGCCGCGATCGCGGGAGACGATTATCGGTGTCGCCGAAACCGCAGGATATGCTTACATTGCCGCGATCGCGGGAGACGATTATCTGTGTTGCCGAAACCGCAGGATATGCTCACGGGTATTGCCGCGATCGCGGGAGACGATTATCGGTGTCGCCGAAACCGCAGGATATGCTCACGGGTATTGCCGCGATCGCGGGAGACGATTATCGGTGTCGCCGAAACCGCAGGATATGCTTACATTGACGCGATCGTGGGAGACGATTATCGGTGTCGCCGAAACCGCAGGATATGCTTACATTGCCGCGATCGTGGGAGACGATTATCTGTGTTGCCGAAACCGCAGGATATGCTCACGAGGATTGCCGCGATCGCGGGAGACGATTATCGGTGTCGCCGAATCCGCAGGATATGTTCGCGGGTATTGCCGCGATCGCGGGAGACGATTATCGGTGTCGCAAAAGCCGCAGGATATGTTCGCGGGTATTGCCGCGATCGCGGGAGACGATTATCGGTGTCGCCGAAGCCGCAGGATATGTTCGCGGTTCGCGGGTTTTGACGCGATCGCGGGAGACGATTATCGGTGTCGCCGAAACCGCAGGATATGCTCACGGGTATTGCCGCTATCGCGGGAGACGATTATCGGTGTCGCCAAAGCCGCAGGATATGTTCGCGGTTCGCGGGTATTGCTGCGATCGCGGTAGACGATTATCGGTGTCGCCGAAACCGCAGGATATGCTCACGGGTATTGCCGCGATCGCGGGAGACGATTATCGGTGTCGCCAAAGCCGCAGGATATGTTCACGGGTATTGCCGCGATCGCGGGAGACGATTATCGGTGTCGCCGAAACCGCAGGATATGCTCATGGGTATTGCCGCGATCGCGGGAGACGTTTATCGGTGTCGTCGAAACCGCAACATATGCTCACGGGTATTGCCGCGATTGCTGGAGACGATTATCGGTGTTGCCGAAACCGCAAAATATGCACACGGGTGTTGCCGCGATCGCGGGAAATGATTCTAGGTGTCGCTGAAATCATAAAATATGCGAACCCTGTTTTGCCGCGACCGGTTGCAGGTTTGACGAGACTGTAAGATATGCTCACCGGTATTCCCACGATCGCGGGAGATGATAACTGGTGTCGCATTACCTACCAGTTATACTGTTTTATTATGTTGTATAAAATATTATTCTTTGGAAAAGTTTTGTTTCAATTAAAAATAATTAATAATTATCAGCGGGTTGCGATTAGTTGAGCGGGTTTCGATAATAGCTCTTAAAATTCAGGAATTTGTCTTGAATTCTCCTGGAAAGAATATGAGGTTGGCTAGGTTTACTTGTACGGTTGAATTTTTACGAATTTTCAAAAAATGGTCTGCAAAATCGCCAAAATGGGTTGGCCATTCCCCACTTCTAACATTGGCCACTGCTAGGGTTAAAAGTCCTTTGGGCTCTGCCCCAGTGGCTTTGAAAGTTCCCATGTTATCCTTATGAGGAACATAATTGTTTACATTTTGATCAGCTGTATAATTTAATTGCTGTTATTTATTTTTCAATTCAATGAAACGCATTGAGTACATTTGTTTACTATTTGAGTTTGTGTAAACATAACCCCCAAGACGGATCGTGTTAGTATGGTTTTATCTTAAATTTGTGTATTTATGGTTGTTTTGTGTCGCTATGACGGATCGGGTTAGCATGATTCTAACTTAAATTTGTGCATTTATAGTGTTTTTGTGTACCTATAATTTGTTTATTTGTTGTTGTTTTTTTCTTTTAAATGTCTCCGACGCGACGAAAACGAAACATAGACAGGAGGCGTAATCGTGATAACGACCGCAGCTACAGATCAGTGGCGCGTATTAGGCTTAACTCATCACAGTCGGCACCTGACCCTGGACACACTCAACTATTAGGTTACAAATGCGCCCTAACACTGCCCCAAAACGACTTTTTGTTCTCAATTGGCCCTCTATCAATGACCTATGTTGCCTGTACAGCGAGGCATTTAGAGAAGGAGAAAACCGGCCAGAATCCTTTAGGTTTATCAATAACGAAGATAAACATGGTCTGAGTTACACACCGGTAATCTTTGAGTTGACTCTTTTAAACTCATTGTAAATATGACTGTTATTCGTTTTGAAATAACTCCTGTAATACATTGCAATTGCTCGAATTCGAGCAACATGTACGCTAGTTGTATATTATTATACAAATTATTACATATTGGTTTAATCAGTGTTTGGTATTAATATTTCAGTACTACAGAATCATTGCCATATTTTAATAGAATTTCAACAAGAGTACATTTTGCATTCAGAGTATTGGTATACATTTTATTACATTTTAAGAAGTGTTAAATTTAAGATCATTGAAGATATTTTCTGGAGGACATATCAGACCTCTCACGGTCCATAAATCGGACTTCTGGGATATTTAATTACAGGGCCCACTTAACATCTTTAATTCCACTGCGCACTGCTCTGTAATTGTATGTGGTTCAAATAAAAATTAAATTAAATTCATTAAAACCCCACCAGGGGGCAACTTTTTGTTATACTCAAACCTGTATGGAATACCTAAATTGTATTACATAAAGGTGTGAGGTGATTTTACTTTGATGGAATGATCAATTAAGTAAGGAAATAAACTAGTTGTTTTTCCTTACAAAAGAATATAAGTAAAGAACTTTTTATTTTTCTTTACAATATCAGACTGTTTATGTTTTGCAAACACTTTAGTTGATTAAATGTTTTTTTTCAGCTGATGTAATATTCACAATCGTGGACAAGCCACACCCTGTGTTCAGGAGGGATGGGCTAGATCTTCTCATGGAGTCAACCATCAGTCTAACCCAAGCTTTGGTCGGGTTTACACTGCCTGTTGTTACAATTGATCAGCGAACACTACAAGTCCCTGTTACGCAAGTCGTCAGGTAGGTATTGTGCAGCACCTATAGACCAGAGGACGTAGGATTGAGTCCAACAGTTGAAACAATGGGTGTGCAATATAAATATGTAATAACACTAAACTAATACTATGTGATATTTTTAGACTTACTGATGATAGTAAACTTACAGTGTCATTTTTGTTACAATTTATTAACCATCATTAAATTTTCATTAAAAGTGAATAATTTTCTCACGTTGAATAGTTCTAAACATGTTTCATGATATTTATTTTGTATATCATATTAGTTTTTACATTACCACTAAGGATGTATCGATTCTAAATACAGTACCAATCAATATCCCGAATCCCGAATCTAAAATGTTAAAACCTAAATGTGAAACTTTTTTACTTAGCTGGTTACAAAGGTCAAGGTTACAAAAAATACAGGTAATAATAAAGTGTTAAGTATGCAATCAAAACTGAAAGAGATATACTCCTGACACTTACATAACATAAATATTTGTCTGATAATCTTAAACTTGAATACAACATATTTTTTTATAAACAACCAACATTAAAATAAATTTAACCTCTAATACCAACATAAACATGAATATTAGATTACATTTATTAGTCAATATTTCTTTGTGTTATGAAATATTGATATGAAACTGAATCGTACGTCATTCGAGTTATAGTATTTAAGAGGCCTTTTCAGGTTCAGAATACAGTTTACTTTTTTATTACTGTTGATGGTGATATGTTTGCTCTATTGCTACGAGTTTGTGTGGAAACAGTGTTATTAACAATAATAATAACACAAAAAATGTCACCAGTTTCAAAATTAAAACTGCCAAAGTTTTCAATTTCATAACTCTTGAATCTCGAAACTCGGTGATCAAATCTCAAAACCAAAACTTTTCCAAAGCTTTGATGGTTTTGAGATTTGAGATTCAGTTTTGACACATCACTATTTGTAACTATTAGTTTTGTTATCATGGCCAACAATCTTTTTAGCCAACTAAAGAACTATTCATAACTTAATCTCATTGCAATTCCTTTACACAATAACTGTAGGCTATGAATAAATTGACTAAAATCAGATGACTATCTTAGATAATCAACCCTTAGAGGAACAGGAAAGTTGATCAAATCTCAAACTTTTGTAAAATTCAAATATTTTAAAATTAAAATTTAGGAACGGTTTTTTAGCTTAGACTGCTGCAAGCAAATAAGGGACGGGGGCAAATGAAGGAGGCTTGTACAGTGGCAAATTATGCCACACTTTCCTTTTTCTTACTGACTTCAACCCTTAACACTTTATAGGCTATGCACGTTGTGTGTAAATCTTTTTTAAGGCGGGGTTCAAGAAAAAACAACATCAAATTTAAACAAATCAAACCCACAAGAAAAAGGGCCTAAATCTTGAGACTGATGTGGACCTATCAAATGGGCCAAGACATAGCTTCTCATACTGCTCACAACCTCATAACTTTTCTAGAGATGAGATGGTTTATGAAGAGTGGGGGATTGCAGGGAAGATAGTTGGTGCCGTAAGAGGCAATGGAACCTGTAGTGACTCCTGACTACCTGTACATGAATTTGTATTTCACATGGGTTATTTATTTACATTTCATTCAATTTATTATTGTTTACTTGACTTACAAAATACACACATTTGTATCACCTATTGAGTTAGTGAGTTTACATCTTCAAAATCAATATCACTACTGCTCTACACAAAAGTACTGTAACTATGAACCCTTTGCCTGTGTTGCCCACACACTACAGCTATAAATGAAAGATGGATTACTCTACTACACAAAGATTTCTAAGTTGATTGTGTGGGTTCTTTGAAGCATTCAGAAAAAACTTCAAAAGCCTTGAAAACTGTCCAAATATAACTCGGACTTCCTGCTTATCGGATGTTTCAAGATTAACTGACATGATGGAACAGTACTTATTGAGCGGAGGGAAGCAAAGATCTATGGGATTCAATGCCTCAAGTTAGGGTGGCGAGGACTATAGATGTTGATAGTTCTCCTGAGACAAACTGACAAGTTAAATTGATGAAATAGTTGTATTATATCTATAAACATTGTTTTCATTTATTGCTTTATTAAAAACCACAAAACTTGATGGCTCGCTCAACTGGCTTTCACTACTATGAAAGCAGTCCTAGTTACATGTAGGAACAGTACTTACATGATTGGTGACATCGCCTGAAACACCCCTACCACCGCACTACAAATACGCCAAACATCTCTGTGTGAAGGATTAAACTAACGTAAACATGTTAGGTTACAATTGTCACAAACAATGGACGTGAAATAACCTCAACAATGAGAGATATATTGCTTTGAATGTGTGGTGATATATTTCAATTAATTTAAAACTTTCTATTCAAATTAGGCAATAATATACAATAGTTTAGTTGTAATAATTTATTGTTTTGTATTCTCAAAATCAAGTTTCAACTCACTGGTCTATGGTTTTTCAGCCCAGATTACATTAAGGTTGTTGAAGGAGAAGGGATGCCTGATTGGCAAGAGCCACTGAGAAGAGGAAATTTGCTAATATCATTCAAGATTGAGTTCCCCAAGTATGTGCCTAAAAGCAGCAAACCTTTGATTATCAAGGCTCTTCGTCCTTCGGCCATAGTCAAAGACAAGGAAACGAGCCATTTGCAACCACCTGTGTTTCCTAAAGGCAAAACTTTGCGTACTGATGAACTGTAACATACGTTATGATATTTTCTGAATAAATTTCTAGTTTAAATTTTTATCAATTTAAGTAATTTATTCCACAACAGTATATATTTAAAGATTTCTGACTATTTATTTTCTTTGTCCATTTCTTGATAGCATGAAGGGCCGTATTTGCACATAGCTCTCTAGTTGGTGTGTATGCCACAACAAGTTGGCTCGCCGCTTACTAGCATCATTAGTGAACAGAGTGGTGCCCTCTTAGAAGCTCTGTAGCTAACGATTATGCTACACTATGTGTTTAGGAAATTTGTTAAATTATTTAATCTCCCTCGGCTGCGAGATAAGGTAGTGATACGTAATGCAGGCAGTAATAGTGATACGTTTTGAGTCCACAAGAAACATATCTCATGACATTTATTTATTGGATTACATGTCACTATACATCATAATAACAGGAGGTATTGCAAATGGTTAAATTAAAGACTTAAAACTAATAGATGAAACCTATACATATATTTTACACAAAAACAACAGAATCTTCCCTAAATGTAATATTTTACATGACAAAAATTGAGCTATAAGAAACATATGAATATGGTTTGAAAATAGTGCTTGAGGCTAATCACAGACTGTAGGACTTATTACTTCCAGAGCAAATCCGGAATTTATATTTGTATTAACATTTGTTTACTAACTCTGGTTAGTTAGTATTTCCTAGCAAGATGTGACAAAAAATTGTTTTTAATAGTTAACCCTCCGAGTGTTATGTGTCATAAAAGCGACTCGTAACACATCCGCTGTAGTGTTATGTGTCGCTTTTGCGACTCACAAATACTGTTTACGGCGACGGCTCTGGGACTGACTGAATCAGATTTAACTGGATCGAGTTAAGCAGGAAACCCACTGGTCCGACACTCTCCGACACGTCACCTTCCGTCAAGGCTCCGACACCTTCAGACAAAATTACTTTGCATGATTTTAAATGGACTGTAACCCACTAGTCAGACACGACACCTTCCGATCCGACACGTCACGACACATTGCTCTCTGGGGCATTCTTGTCGGATGTCGGATCCGTTATTTCTCCACTCTGCGTGCACCAGGCCTAGATTTTAGTCACTGTCTAGCTTTGTGTGTGTTACCTATATGTGGAACAGACAAGGAACATGTGATCACAAGTGTGTGATGTTATTGTACAATTATTGATAATTGATTGGTTACTGGTACGGAGAAAATAAAAAAAAAATGTTTATTTAAAAATTCCCATATTATTCTTATGGAGAATATTGTAAAATATTGTAGTTTGCTTTCTGATGGATATATTTTGATCAAATTGGTAAATTTATTTATTTTATACTAATTCATTAATATTTTATTAAAAACTACACTTTTTTATCCTCCCTGTAGCAGCAAGCCTATGTACTCATAAAACCTAATGTCAATTAAATACATTTAATTGAAAATCAATTCAGGCAAATAGAAATTCGCTTAGTCGGCAGGTTTGCTGATGCGGGGGTATTATTGTTTATGTTTTGTATTGTACTTTTTGCTAATTCCCCTGTTAAAGTAATTGTAACCGGAATTATCAAGGTGGGTCCAGGAAGGTCCTTGACCATTGTAATCTCTCATACTAACAGAGATTGTCATAAATGTTATATGGACTTTTTTATTATTTGCTCTTGTCTCCCTAACTACTGCTTGTGAACATTATGTGATCACATGTTCCATCGCAACTGGCACTGTTGGAGTGGTGGTGTATTTCTCGTCGGAGGCCTACTGTTGGAGCCCGTCGGACCAATGTGTTAATGCCTTAAAATTGCGGAAGGTGTCGGAGACTTGACGGAAGGTGTCATGTCTGAGAGCGTCGGACTAGTGGGTTTCCTGCTTTAGGTATCGTTTTTTTCAGCAGATTCAGAGCTTTCTCCTGATGTCTGTTTCTATACGCTTTTCATTTTAGTTCCGAAAATATTGTAGCAGACAGCTGACGTGCGTATTTGTAAGCAGCTTGGTTAACCTCGCACCGATGACTGATGTGTTTTATTACGTTTATCATTGTTTAGTGTTAAAAATCAAAAGTAGTGATATACGTGGTGCATTATAAGAAGATTTAAGTGATTTTGAAGGGCTGGTTGATGATCCTGAAGAAGGTGGCTATCATGGTGAGGTAGCCTCTGGATCACTAAATTTAAGCTAAATGGTTTAAGTTACCTGGCTTCGTCAAGTGATCCTTCTTCAGTATTACACTACTATAGTTTCGGACTTGAAAATAAGTCCATCTTCAGGTTAACAAAAACGTCAATAGGTCATCTAACCAATTTGGTTAGATTCGTCGATACACTTAAAACACATACACGAACACAAAAAACACAAAAAAACGAATATAATACTGTAAAAACTGGCCAATGTAATTAATCATGGGGGACACGTGTGGCGACGCCGGACATGACTCATCTTCCGGCGTCGCCACACGTGTCCCCCGTGATTAATTACACTTACACTGTCGTGCACAAAATAAAGTATGCTTAAAATGTCAAAAACTCAATCACTTTGCTAAAGTATGCAAGACGAAAATATTCAATGGCCATGAATTAGAATCTACTGCTAGAATTGATGAAACACAGTCAGAGTGCATGCTTAACAATGAAGTGGGGGCTATAGTCAATGTTAACAGGATCAAAGCAAGTCACTGGACAGTAACATTAAATATACAGACTGTCCCAAAAGTCCCGGACCGGTTTAATATTTTCTAAACGACAACAGATAAATCAATAAGATTTGGTACATCAACTCCACACCTAAAAATCTATTTTTTTTTGGAAATATCAATTTTCTGTCACATCATGGGGACGTCCCGCAAGGAGTCAGAAGGAAATCTTAAATAGAAGCATAGGTTGACATGTACATCAAATTAAAGGTCTTTACTAGCAGAATATAATGCTGCAAATTTGAACTCAAACGGACAACCAAGTCAAAAATGACAGTGGTTCAAAGATTCATTTAATTTGCATTTGGGGGCACAGCCCTAGGAATCGGAAAAAAATTGTTAACGTAAGCATAGGTCGATATGCACATCAAATTAAAGATCTTCACTAGTAGATTACAATGCCGTAAATTCAAGCTCAAAAGAACGCCTGAGTAAAAAATGGCAGTCGTTCAAAGATTCAAAATGGCAGGTTCAAGAAATCTTTGAACGGCCACCATTTTGTAACGGGTGATCCTTTTGAAGCGTGGTTTTCGGCATTGAACTCTGCTAGCCAAGCCCTTTAAACTGATGTGCATATTGACCTATGCTCCTATTTAAGATTTCCTTCTGACTCCTTGTAGGACGTCCCCATGATATGACAGAAAATTGATAGTTCCTTAAAAAAGTAGATTTTTAAGTGTGGTGTTGATGTGCAAAATCTTATTGATTTATCTGTTGTCGTTTAGAAAATATTAAACCGGTCCGGGACTTTTGGGACAGTCTGTATAATTGCAAAGAAGATCGTATTTAAGATTGACACTTGTGCAGATGTTAATATTCTTTCCACCAAAGATTTTGATAGCTTATCTCTACCCAAGTGTTTTGAGGTTCAACCATCAACAACCAAGCTTGAGGCATTTTGTGGGTTCAAGATAAACACAGTGGAGGAAGTAACACTGCCAGTTACAGTGGCTTCTAAATTGTACAATATCACATTTATTGTGGTTGATTCTGAAAAGGCGACACCAATAATAGGACTTAATTCATCTATTGCAATGGGCCTCATCAAGAGAATATCTATCGATGCAGTAAGCAAAATACCCGACATAAAAACGCTGGTTGAAGAGAATAAAGATGTATTTGTAAATCAAGGTTGTTTTCCTGAAGTACTGAAACTGAAACTCAAGGAAGGGGCTGTTCCAAGAAGTTCACCGCCCGCAGAATACCTAACAAACTAATGGATTGTCTTAAGCAGAAGCTGGATTCTTTAATTGGTATCAAGAAACATAATTGAGAAATGTGAATCTGGGGAATGGGTACACACCACCTTGTTATAGTGGAAAAACATAAAACTGGAGACTTGAGAGTTTGTCTAGACCCAAAGGAATTTAATAAAAGTTTGATTCGAGACTATGTTTTAATCTCAACTCTTGATGAAATTTTACGAAAAAGGAGCATATGATAATTTTGTTTTCATTGTAAACTGACTACCATGACTAAATAGGTCTGTCCTTTGATTTGATGTCACGACCATTAGGGACGAATTTGCAACTTTGGAGCACGACAGTGGCAAGCCTGGCGTCGATGGAGTCAGTTGTTGGTTTAAGAGACTAGTTTGAGGTGTACGTCAGGATTGCAGTGCCGGTCGTTTTGAGTTGAAAGGAGGAATTACAAGATAAATAAATTAAAGGCAAGTTTGTGTTTTTTGTAATTTTGGTGTGTCCATGACCGTACGTAGTCATTTGATGAAGTAGACATGGTGTTAATTTTTGTTTATAAGATATTTCAATTGCTAGATTAATCTAGAAGTCCACTTTATATCCTCGAACATGAGGTGCAGGGCTACCACCAGAACAGAGCCAAATAACACGTAATGTCACAACCAAAGTTTCATGACCATTGTGGGTTTTTTTCACAACCATATGGATTATACTGTGTTTGGTCGTGACAATAACTTAAATATCATTGTAAATTGAACAGTTTAGTTCAATTGAAACACATATTTTTACTATAACTAACAGTATAAGAAGGATTGTTAATTAAGGTTTAGGTTATTCCAGACAATTCACGACCGTACCGCTTGTCCCTGACCATCACTTTTATCATCTATCATCATTGACTATATATACCTATAGTCGGGACCACGTAAGTTTGCAGTTGGTGGCAGCCAATCACAAGACAAGGCAAGTGCAACGTTGCCACATCGCACTAATAAAATATACTAAGCAATATTTTCAAATCAGCCGGTATTATTAGATTTGGCAACACCGCACGGTTCTCATTGGTTCATTCAAACCCATATGGTAAATAGGCTCCTCCCTCAACTGCAAACTTATGTGGTCCTGACTCTAGTCAATGCTATCATATAAATTTCAAAAAATTTAATATCAT